GCCTGGGGCCCATCCTGGAAAAGAAGGAGGACATGGTGAGGGGCACCGAGGCGCAGGACGGAGTCCAGAAGTGGCTCGACGCGCTGAACGAGGAGGCGGAGGTGGATGTGGGAAGGCTGAAGAGGGGTGTCCTGGAAGCCTCGGGGATCGCAGATGCCCATCTGGGGCGCAAGCGTGCCTGGAAGGAGGAGTGCCAGGGCATCACCGCGGCGCAGGAGGCCTACCGCCGCATGGGCGACTACACGGACCAGTTCTACCATCGCAAGGGCTTCACGTTCAACATGTACTACAAGTGCGCGGCAAACAAGACCTGGGATAATCCCAGGGGATGCTGCTCGGTGACCCGCTCGGATCGCTGGCCACAGCTGCTCTCATGCGCCCAGGAGGCAGCGGGAGAGACGGGCCAGCGCTGGTACTGCCACTGCGGTGCGCGCTACTCGACCTCCTACGGAGTCTGCATCGAGTTCATCGAGGAAGAGGCGGACCCGCCACACGCATACTACATGCACGCGGAGCATCCCGAGGAGGACATCCGCGACCTGAAGGCCCTGCTGCGCTACGACAAGCTCAAGAATGATGGGATCTCAGTGGTCAACGCGGTGGACCTCCTGAGGTACCTGCCCAAGGTTGAGCCGCTGGCGGTTGGCACCGTCTTCAAGCGCTACGCTCCACACCAGGCACAGTGGGGGGGCCACTATGGCTGATGGAGGGGCTCACCTGGGAGAGCTTGACCAAGTTCGAGTGGACCGACCTGTGCGCGCAGGTCGCCTGGGGACTGAACGACCCTGAGTGGGCGGGCTACAGGGCTACAGCAAGAAGGCGCGGAACAAAGCCAAGAGGGAGCGCCTGGAGATGGCGCGCAGGGAGTTGGCGCTCTACGTGCGCCGCCACAACCTGAAGGAGGGCAGCCTCTCGGGCGGCGGGGGCGGTGCAGGGGCCGCCCCGCGCGCCACCCCCGCTCGCAGCGCCGGCGCCCCACCAGCGAGCGGTGCCCGCGGCAGCCAGGGCCCGCCACCACCGCCAGCTGGAGTCCCGCCAGAGGCCGCAGCCATCATGGACCCCCCGCCGCCGCCGCCGACGGCGCCCCCTGATGTGCCGCCGCCGCCGACGCACCCGCCACCGCAGACGGACCCGCTCTCGCAGCAGATCCCAAGCGCTGCAGCCCTGAAGCGCCAGATCTTTGGGCCCTCAGGGCAGGCGGGGGGCAGTGGCGACCTCGGCGGGGAGGTGCGTGCGCTGCCGTCGCAGGTCTTTGCTGCCATTGCGCAGGGAACAGGCCAGCAGGCCTGAAGGATAATGTCCAGTAGGTTCCAGGGCCTCGGCAGGCCACGTGAGTCCATGCCAAGGTGTCTACTTGCCACTCTCTGTAGCGCGGCGGGCCCACAGCGGCACCCCCCTCGCGTGGCGGCACCTGTGGCTTTTGCCTCGGCTCGGCGCATGACTACCTGTGCGCCCAGCCACCTTGGCTCGCCAACTGGCTTGCCATCTCGGCCTCCACACGCTCACTTGCGCTCGTTGGCCCCGCTGGCGGTGCTGGGGCAGCCCCGTGTACTGCAGCGTCGCCGTCAGGCGCCTGGCCATTTTGGCCTGCCATCCTGGCCTCCTCTCGCGCCTTCTTGCGCTTGTAGGCCTGGATGGCGGTACCGGGGTCGCCCCGTGTGCTGCTACGCCGCCGCCGGCGCCTTACTTTTTGCTGTAGGGACCAGCTGCCCTCGGCCAGGCGCCTGCTGCTGCATGCACGTCAGACCCGCCCTTGGCTTGCCATCCAGGCCTTGCCTCGCGTCTTCTCGCGCTAGTTGGCCTGGGTGGCGGTACTGGGGTCGCCCCGTGCGCTGCTGTGCCGTTGCTGGCGCTTCACTCTGGGCCGTTGGTCCAACTGCCCACAGTACGAGCGCCTGACGATGCAAGCATGTCAGACCCGCCCGTTCACCCAGAAGAGGTGCGCGCTACATACTGGCAATGAGGCAGCCACAAGGACGCTCTTCCCTAGGTGGTTGAGCCGTGGTGATGTGGTGCACGAGACAGTAGTAGTAGTAGTAGTAGTAGTAGTAGTAGTAGTAGTAGTAGTAGTAGTAGTAGTAGTAGTAGTAGTAGTAGTAGTAGTAGTAGTAGTAGTGTAGTCGTAGTAGTAGTAGTAGTAGTAGTAGTAGTAAGTAGTAGTAGTAGTAATAGTAGTAGTAGTAATAGTAGTCGTAGTAGTAGTAGTAGTAGTAGTAGTAGTAGTAGTAGTAGTAGTAGTAGTGTGGTTAGTAATAGTAGTACTAGTGAAGGAATAGTAGTAGTAGTCGTCGTCGTCGTCGTAGTAGTAGCCGTAGTAGCGTGTAGTAGTAATAGTAGTAGTGTAGTAGTAGTAGCAGTAGTAGTAGTAGTATTAGTAGTTAGTAGTAGTAGTAGTAGTAGTAGTAGTAGTAGTTAGTAGTAGTTGTCGTTGGGGTCGTAGTAATCGTAGTTAGTAGTATAGTAGTAGTCGTAGTATCGTAGTCGTAGTCGTAGTCGTAGTCGTAGTCGTAGTCGTAGTCGTAGTAGTAGTAGTAGTAGTAGTAGTTAGTAGTAGTAGTAGTAGTAGTAGTAGTAGAAGTCGTCGTCGTCGTCGTCGTCGTCGTCGTCGTAGTAGTAGTAGCAGTAGTAGTAGGAGTAGGAGTAGGAGTAGTAGTAGTAGTAGTAGTAGTAGTAGTAGTAGTAGTAGTAGTAGTGGTAGTGGTAGTAGTAGTAGGAGTAGTAGTAGTAGTAGTAGTAGTAGTAGTAGTAGTAGTCGTAGTCGTAGTAGTAGTGGTAGTAGTAGAGTAAAACGGATAATGGTGGCAGTCGTTGTCGAAGTAATAGTAGTAGTGGTGGTAGTAGTAGTGGTGGTATGGTAGGAATCGTATTACGCCGCCGACAGCCCCCGTCCCGACAAAATCACGGATCCCGCTCGATGCTTTCCTTTTTCTTACTCAAGGCTGTGTCCTCCTCGCCGCCGAAGGCCGCCATCCCAACAAAACCAGCGTTCCCGCTCGAGGCTTCGGTTTGTTTTACGCTGGACTAGCGCCCTACTCTCTTCAGCATTGGCGCCGCTCCCAACAACAACAGCAGCCCTGCTCGAGACTTCCTCCCTGTCTATTCAGGGCCAGGTCCTTGCCTCACCGCCGACAGCCCCCGTCCCCACCAAGGCAATCCTGTCGTTCGATACTTCCTTGTGTTTTACCCTTCGCCGGAGTTCCACTTGCGGTCTCGCATCGGCGCAGCAAGGCGCGGGCATGTGTTTTCGAGACGGGATATGTTGAAATTCCTCGGAGGAGGTGTTTGCAAGACCTCATTGGGCGGGAGATCTGGGAATGGGAATAACGGACCCCGCTATAGAACAAGAGTCCCCCATTACGTGGATGGTTATCATGATGGTCGCATGCTTCGTGTGGAAGCATCGCGCATGAGGGTAACATGATAGTAGTTGTTGTTGTCGTTGAACATTATTTATTCTAAAGAATAATTATTGTTGGGCCCCCTGGTGCGCGCCCCCCCTGCGCCGCCTAGGCCGCAGCTACATTTTCATCACTTTCGTGAGGAAGCCTCAGAAAAGAGGGTGTGTACAGGATCCTGTTTTGTTGTAATCCGCTTTCCCTTGCAAAAAACAATAGAAAATGACATTTCTTGTTCTAATATAATCAAATTTCAAGAATCCCTTGCAAAAAATAAGGTAAAGTGGACATTCGCGCGCGCAAGACGAAATCCTTCCAAAACCTTAGTGTTCGCAGCGATTTTAACATAAAAACATCAAAAAACCAATGGTTTTTCAACAAAAAAATGTCAAAATCTCATCCCGCGCGCTCTTGCGGATTCGTAGGAAACCCAACACTTTTTAAACATTTCTGTCAAACGGGCTTTTGCGAGCAACTTTTTCGAACTTCTGCGACAACGGTTGCGCACCTGCCAGGGCCATCATCCCTGTCAAATAATACCATGCGGGACACATTCGTTTTTTCTTCGCGCGCGCACGCCGTCGTCGTCGGCCGCGGGGCCCTCAATAGTAGAAGTGTAGTAGCCACGGTCGTCCGCATGCCACGAAGTGAAGTGTCCGAACGTCATAGGGCGGGAAGCTGGGTGTGGGTGGTGGCGAAGAGTCGTTTGGAAATTTGGTAGAGCTTGAACCGGCCCCCCCACAAAGTGGGGTATTGCCCGCCTCCTATGAAAACCCTGGCACTGGTGAGAACGGAGTGTCCCCACGTGCTAGTAATTGTTGTTGTTGTTGTTGCTGTTGTTGTTATTTTTTTGGGGGGGGCGCTGGGTTCCAGCGCCCGCTCCTACTCTGGTTGTTGTCGTGAACGGGGGGGCATGTGCACAGTTTGGTGGCCCCATTCTTTTCGTTTGTAGAAACAAGGTGCGAGCCCCGTGAGAGCACCGGGCAGGGGGGATCAACAATAATTTCTTCTTCAGAGATGAGAGCTCAGACACAAAACAATAACTCGCGTAATGACAGCAGTCATAAGAATATGAATACGAATAATCCGAAGAAGACTGCGAGGAGGAGGTGGAAGATGAGGAGGAGGAGGAGGAGGAGGAGGAGGAGAAGGAGAAGGAGGAGGAGGAGGAGGAATGAGGACCAGGAGGAGGAAGAAGAGGACGAGGACGAGGTGGTGCACAGAGGCCCTCTCTTCTTCCCTCCCCCTTCCCCACCCGCCCTTTCACATCCCCTTCCTTTTCTTCTTCCTGATTATCCTCGTCATTCTCGTCCTCCTTCTCCTTCGTCCTCACCCTCCTCCACCCCTGTCCCCCTCCCACTCCTCCTCCTCCGCCTCCTCCTCCGCCTCCTCCTCCTTCTCCTCCTTCCCACCCGCTCATCGCCATCCTCCTCCTCCTTTTTCCCCTTCCCCTCCCCCACTTCGTCCTCCTCCCCCTCCTCACTTTATTCCTCCCCCCCCCTTCCCCCGCCCCCTCCACTCTCTCCCCCTCGCCCTCCTCCCCCGTCCTTCCCGCCCCCGGCCCCCCGTCCTCGCCGCCCTGCCTCCGCCACCCCGCCGCCCCAGTGCGCCGAGCTGACGAAGCAGGTCCAGGACATGGCCAGCTCGGTCCAGGGCCTCTCCGCGCACCGCAACCTCGTGCTGCGCGCCGGGAGGCCGGCGACCCGAGACGCGCTGCTGGAGAGCCTTTTGACGGCCGCGGTGCGGGAGGAGGGAGGAGGGAGGGGGGAGGAGTGCGGAGGGAGGAGGGAGGGAGGGAAGAGGGAGGAGGAAGGAGGGAGGAGGGAGGAGGGAGGAGAAGGACAATGAGCAGGAGGAGGAGGAGGAGGAGGGAAGAGGGAGGAGGGAGGAGTGAGGAGGGAACATGAGCAGAGGAGGAGGAGGAGGAGGAGGAGGAGGAGGAGGAGGAGAAGGATCGAGCCCACTCTCGTGGGTGGGTGCTTCTAGCTCTCAGGGCGTTCCCCTTTTCATTGTGCAGCTGACCGGTTTCTTCGACGCGTCTCCGGAGCCTGTGCGTGTGTCTGTCTGTCTGTATGTCTGTACACGTGTTTGCGTGTGTTACGATCTGGATGTTTTTCTCGGGCTCGGCTTCTGGGGGCCCGTTTCCCGCGGACGCCGTCAGAAATCCATCGGGGGCGGGAGGAGGAGGGCGTTCCAGAAAGAGCTTATCCTTTTATGGCTCCAGAAGTTGGTATCTCTTCTTCGGCTGGAAGTGGCAGAATGCCGCAAGAAGGCAGAATAAGTACAGCTTGGGCGGCTCCGCTGGCGGGAGGCCAGGGAGCCCCGTGCTTATTCCGCACGTTCGCTCGCAGTCCAAAGAGGCCGCGCCTTTTCGATGCCCCGTCTCGTTGGGTGTCGTCCTCTGCCCCTCTCCCCTGCTCCCTTCTCCGCCGCACCCCGCCCCCTCCCCGACCGCTGCGCATCCGCCTCCCCTTTCCTCACCCTCACACTCTACATCCTTCTTCGACGTCGCCGTCGTCCTCCTCCTCCTCCTCATCCTCCTCCTCCTACTCCTCCCCCTTCCCCTCCTCCTCCTACGCCTCCTCCTTTTCCTCGTCCTCATCCTGCTGCCTGGCTCCACTCCCTCCCTCACTCCCTGCATTCTCTGCCTGCTCCTGCTGGTGCTGCTGCTCCTCTCCCCGTCCCCCTCCTCCGCCCCCCCCCCCCTCCTCCAAACGCGGAGTGACATGTATATCACGCAAGCTGCCTGGGTTGTGCACACGAGCGACCGCTAGAGCGCCGTCTGCACGTGACACTCTGGCAGCGGTGCGACGAACTCCTAATTCCTCCTCATTCCCTTCCTCTTCGATACCCGCCTCATCACCAGCAGCATCACCGTCATCAGCATCAGTATTAGTATTATCGTCACCACCACCATGAACATCATCCCTGTCTCATCATATGTGCCATCGTCATCGGTCTGATCATCTCCATCATCATCGTCGCCGCCATCATCATCACCATCACCACCATCCTCATACTCATCATCATCATCATCATCATCATCATCATCATCATCAGCAGCATCATCATCGTCAGCATCATCATCATCATCATCATCAGCACCAGGAGCAACAACAGCAACAACAGCACCAGCATCAACATCAGCAGCGACCCCATCATCATCATCAGCAGCATCACCATCATCGACATCACCATTGTCATCATCAGCATCATCAGTATCACCATTACCATCACCATCATCAGTTGCTTCACCATCATCATCATCAGCAGCAGCATCATCAACATCATCATCATAATCAGCATCACCATCAGCAAAATCATCATAATCATCATCAGCAGCATCATTACTATTACCATCGTATATGTTATCGATCGTACCTCCGTCTTCCTCCTCATCTTCCATGTGGTCCTCCACCTTTCTTCCTCTGAAATAGCTCTGCCCTATCGCATCCCCAACCGTGTCTGTCGGTAGGGCGGGCTGGGCGCGAGCGCCGCGCTCATTCGTGTGACAATTGTGCAGCAGTTTCACGGATGGAGGGCGGGTCGTTTTGAACGTGTGGCTCTCCCCTCAGCGTTGCGCGCGCTCGTCTTAAAAAGTTTGGAGCAGCTTCACAGACGGAGGGCTGGCCGTTTTCAGAATGTTGTTGTCGCCGTAGCGCCGCGCGCATTCGTCTCAAAAGTCTGCAGCAGCTTCACGGATGGAGGGCGGGCCGATTTCAAAATGCTGTTCCCGCTCTAGCGCCGCACGCATTCGTCTTCGAAATGTTGCGTTCGCCCTAGCGCTGCGCGCATTCGCCTTGAAAGCTTGCAGCAGCTTCACAGATGGAAGGCGGGCCGTTCTCAACATGCTGCTCTCGCTGCAGCGTCGCGCGCATTCGCTTTAGAATTGTGCAACGGCTTCACGGGTGCAGGGCGGCGCTTTTCTAACATCTGGGTCTCGCAGGAGCGCCGCGCACATTCGTGTCACAAGTGCGCAGCAGTTTCATGGATGGACGGCGGCTCGTTTTCAGAATGTGGCTCTCGCCTTAGCGCCGCGTGCTTTCGTTTCAAACAAATTCAGCCGCGGTGTTCTGTTCGGACGGAGGGTGGGTAGTTTTCAAAATGTGGCTCTCGCCTTGGGGCTTGCGCGCATTTGCCTTAAACGCTGCAACAGTTTCACAGATGCAGGGCGGGCCGTTTTCATAATATTGGTGTCGCCTTAGCGCATCGCGTATTCGTCTCAAAAGCTTGCAGCAGCTTCATGGATGGATGGCGGGTCGTTTTCGAAATGTGGTGCTCGCAGCAGCGCCACTCACAATCTCCTGGAAAGCTTGCAGCGGATTCAAGAACTCGTATGGTTGTAGTCTCGGGAAGGGTGTTATGGCACGATGATTGCCAGGGCGAGCGCAACAGTCGCGTTGATACGTGGCGTTGAAGTCCCAATCATTCCGTTTTGGCACAACTGGGGATTATCATATGAATGTTTTCCACTGAGGCATTTCCCGCAACGAACATGAGTTCCCAAAGAGACCGATGAAGACGGAACTTGGAGGGAGCATCTTGAGCTTTCACTGTCGTCGTCATCATCATCATCATCATCAGCAGCATCTCGACCCGCGTCCTTCTCGAATGCTTCGGCTCGGAGGGGGAGCAAATCGAGGAGGAGGAGGAGAATAAGGGGGGAAAGGAGAAACGGGAGGAAACGGAGGAGGAGGACGAGGAGGAGGACAAGGACAAGGAGGAGGAGGAGGAAGAGGAGGAGGAGGAGGAGAGGGGTGAGTGGAGAGAGGGTCGGGTGAAGGATGAGGAAGAGGAGGAAGATAGGGGTCGGATGATAATGATGATGTTGATGATGATGATGCTGTTGATGCTGATGATGTTGATGATGCTGATGATGCTGATTATGATGATGATGATGACGATGATGATGAGGATGATGATGAGGATGAGGATGAGGACGAGGTGGAGGAGGAGGAGAAGAAGGCGGAGGAAGAGGAGGAGGAGAGGGATCGGATAAGGAGAAGGAGAAGGCGGAGGAAGAGAAGGAGGAATAGGAGGAGGAGAAGGAGGACCACGAGGAGGAGGAGGAGGGGGACGAGGGAGAGCAAGAGAGGAAAGGGTGAAAGGGACATATAATGGGGGATATGGAGAGGGGGGCAGGGCGAGGTAGGGAGAGGAGAAGCGGAGTGGGAGGCAAGCGGCGCGGCGGAGGGTGAAGGCCACTTGTCTTTTCGCCTAGACCGACGACACTTTGCAGCGACACCCTCGTCAAACCTTGTGGAGAGGGAAGGGGAAGGAGAGGTATACAGTGGGGCCGCGCATCAAGAGACCATCGGCTTTTCATCAGGGCGTCCTTGGATTCTTCGCTCCGCGCGCACCGCGGTGACTCCCCGCAGCCGTTGAAGGAGCTGCTGCCTTCAGGGTGCTCTGGATTTCCCCTCACGTGCACCTCGCGCCCAGGTTTTGAGGGTTGGGTTTCTCGCGAGGGTGTCTTGTGGCCGCGGCCACATTGTACTGCCAGGAGCTGTGGCCTCGCGTGTCGAGTCGACCGTTCTGGCCCACGCTTCAACTACAGGTTCCTGACCGCATGTGGTTGCAAACGATCGCGCCCGGATAGTGTGTGTGTGTGTGCTTCTGCCTTGCTTGCTCTGCTTGCTCTTTTACCCCCTCCCCCTCCTTCCGGGTCGTCCCCACCACGGGGATTGAGCCTTTTGTAGCGCCTGGAGCTCTCTCTCCTGGCGCCGCGTCCTCAGGACCCCCTGAGCTGCTCGCGCTTGGTCGGCTTTCCTGGCTCCGTGTGGGTGGGCCTCCTGGGGTGGTCTCCTTGCGTTTGCCGCCGCCGCCGTGGTCTGTCCTGCATCTGGTGTTTTTCTTTAGGATCGGCGTAGGCCCTCATCTGGGCCTGCCGCGTGCCTCGCGGCGCCTTCCGCGTCTTGTCTGAGACGCCCTTGGTCGACTTGGTGGCGACCTAGATGTCGGTGCGTACTGTGCACCTCGCGTCTTTACTTGCGCTGCTAGAGCGGTACCTTACCAATAGATGTTGGTCGGCGCCTTCATTGCGGCCTTCTTTTCGGCCTGCCTGGGCGTGTTACTATCACTGGTTTCTTTTGGTAGCGTAGCGACCCACTACGGCATGGCTTCATCTGGTTGGTTTCGGGCCTGCCAGTGCGGTTTTCTACGCGTGCTGCTCCGTCACCACCAATCTAGCACTTCACCCATTTTATGTTAATGCATCGGGCGTCGTCGGTTCGTAGGTTTGCACCCTACCCGTCAGTTTCGCCAGGTCGTAGCTGCGTGAGTGCAATTTTTCCTTCGGCTGGTCTGGCAGCTTTAGAGGTGATCCGATGATTCAGCGGCACCAATTAGCACCAGACTGCTGTTGGCGCTTGAGCTTATTCGAGTCGAGCTTTCTGTGTCTCGTTTTGTTGGCCGCTGCATTTTGGCTTTGCAGCGCCTCATGTTTTCCACCGCCCATCTGCACGGCCTTGACTGGACGTTTTCATCATGGCGCTTTCGATTAAAGTTCGTTCGCAATTGGCACCTCCACCTGCCGACCGCACCTGAGGCCCCTCTGCGCCGCCGGCTTACAAAGTGCGTGCTTTCTGCAACTTTGCAGCGTGAGTGTCGCCTCCTGAGCAGATCCGCACCTTTTTTTCGACCGCACGGTTTGCGAGGGTAGCTCTGTGATCCCACGCTTGCCTTACCGAGCCCGCCATCTTGAAGTGTCCGTTCCCCTCCATCCGCCTCTACACTGCACAGCAGGCACATAGGGAAAAGGAGGCACCTAGTGGCCCGAGAGAGAAGGAGATGCTGAATCTGGGAGGAGGGGACTAGAGCAGGCAAGCTTAGGATGAGGATGCCAAAAGCGTTCAAGAACGCTTCCAGCGCGTTCCGGGGTTCCCTGGAACCGCTTCGGCGCCCGATACGTTCTTCAGACCCGCGGGTTCTCCGAGATTCCCGATTTGTCCTCATCCGAAGTTGTCCTCATATTCGCTTCGTCTGATACGCACTTGGAGGTGGGACCGCGCTGGGGAAGCCTCTGGGCCCCTCTTCGCCAGGAGTTCCGGCCCACGCTGCCGATGGTCGAGTACCAGCCCACGCACGTGTCCCAGCTGCAGAACGAGGACGCCCGAGTGGTGCGTGTGCCTGCCCCGTGGAGCGGAGGAGGGCGTAAGCATACATTCGAGCATCTGGTTAAAATACGTCCTGCCGAAAAGCTGGGCCAGCGTTTCCCAGCCAACGTGCCAGACAGTTGGCCCAGTTTCTTGAGCACCTTTCGCCCCATCCAGCGTTCACAACAGAGATTGACCCAGGTCTGCTTACAGAAACTTCGGGAAACTGGCCCAGGTTTCTCAAATGGTAGGCTTCTTGGTCGTATGTTCGGCTGTACGCATAAATTGGCGGAGGTCCGCGCGCCGAGGCGATCGCGATGACGAGGGGCTCGGACCCGGGAGAGACGCTCTGGGGGACGACGACGGTAAGCGTACTGCAAACGTCGGCGTCTGGACTTGGGACAAGGGAGGAGGAGGAGGAGGAGGAGGAGGAGGAGGAGGAGGAGGAAGAAGAAGAAGAAGAAAATGTTCGGAGGTCCGCGCGGCATCCTGATCGGCGCTGGACGCCCCCCGGCGGCGCCTCTGGCGCCGCCCGTCGTGCGCTCTGGGCGCGAGGGAGGCCGGTCCAGCGCCGATCCAAGATTCCACGCGGCCCTCCAGGCAGACCGCGGCGCCCGATGCATCTTCCAGAGCAGCCCGCTCTCAGAATTATCCCACGTATCTTCATCCAGGTTCGCCCTCATCCTGCATTCGTCGCGGGTTTGGGGAGGGGCCCTCTGAGTGCCCCCACTTGTTTGGTTTGTCCCCTGCGAAGCGTTGCCCCATCAGGTCTGGGAACTTCTGGGGGCGAGCATGCGCAGCTCGGTCTTGCCAATCAGCTCGGTCTTGCCAGTCTCGGGCCGTCGTGGCTGCCCCAGGTGCTGGCTCCAAGGACGAGTGATCCGTGGCACATTCCGTGGAGACTCTCTTGCGCAGGTTGCGGGCTGGAAGCACAACCGATCCTTCCTCTCAGCTCTTCCTGGGGGACATGGTTTCTGAGCACGTCACATGGCTCAGCCTTGCCAATCTCGGGAGTCACGGTGCACGGCCACCCGGGCGTTGGCCTCAGCGACGGGTTTCTTGCTCTCTCCTCGGTAGCGGCCTTCCCAAAACCATCCATTCATTGGCGTTGGTTATGATGCTTGGGTCTTGTCTCGTCGCAGCGGTTTGGCCCCAGGAAAGGAGCTCTGTAAATGTTTGAGGGCGAAGCGGGGAGACGGGTTAAGCTACAATCAGGCAGCTCTGAGGGGAGATAGCTCAGCTCAGGGATCTTCAGAGAATGTGTGAGATTTCCGTATAGCATCGAGGCTCCAGGAATTCTGGCGACCAGGCCGGCTCTCAGAGATCCCACGTTGTCCTTTTTTCTGGTTCGCCCCTCGCGCGATTTGGTCCAAGAGGTTTCTGCCCTCCCAGGTGAAGACCCTTCAACCCAACTCGATGCTCGGAGCATGCGTGCTTCTGTTCTATGATGTCCTGCGCTCCGACGCTGAACAGATAGTGAATGCAAGGTCAGCGCCTGAGGGAAGAAGCGGGGGGGACGGCCTGGGGGGCAGTCAGCCCTCACAAAGAGATGACGCAGCCCAGGGATCTGCGTGTGTGCGTATGTGTGTGTGTGCGTATGTGTGCGCGTATGTGTGTGCTTATGTGTGTGTGTGCGTGTGTGTGTGTGTGTGGTGTGCTGTGTGTGTGTGCGTGTGCGTGTGCGTGTGCGTGTGCGTGTGCGTGTGTGTGTGTGTGTGTGCGTGTGCGTGTGCGTGTGCGTGTGCGTGTGCGTGTGCGTGTGCGTGTGCGTGTGCGTGTGCGTGTGCGTGTGTGTATGTGTGTGTGTGTGTCAGGTCTGCTACGCCGCTTCACAAGGAAGCGAATTCGCTTTGAGGGTGCCCCCTCATCGCTACCGCCCGCTGGTTGGATTCACTGGCGCGCCGTAGGGAAAGTGTGTGTGTGTGTGTCCAGGACCAAGTCTAGGCAACAACCCGAACAGGCACAATCAGCAGCACCTCACGAGATTCCTTGCCGCACATGGGGTGCAGAGCCTGTCAGCACCCGAGCTGGTCTGCTACACGCCCGACGGAGACCTCCCGGACGGAGCCGACCCGAGCGCCACCGCGAAGGCAACCCCCAACAGGGTACCAGGCACTCGGGCTGAGCGCCCGACCCCAGCCCAGGCACCGCGCGCCACCGCAGGGCACCGCCACCGCGGCCAAAGCCCCCGCCCCAGTCAGAGGCCCCCAAGGGCACCCCGGCCCAAGCGCAGACGGCACTGCGACAGAGGGTGCACCTGCTGCGTGGTTGGAGGCACAGCCCGCCAGCTCTGCAGCCCCCGTGCGCCCCCTACCCAGGAGGCTAGTGCGAGAAGGCCCCTGTCGGAAGCGGCAAGGTGGAGGCTGACTACTCACCAGACGCCGACGCCCCAGATCAAGATTCCCAAGCGCACCTCAACGAGGAGTCCCACGTGGCCGACCATGCTCAGACAGCGGCCAGCAGCACGGGCCCAGAACACGCAGAGCGGACGGCCACCCAGCCCCCACAGCACGAGCAGGCAGCGGAGGACAGCGGCACACTCGGGGCGGACACAGGTGGACCCAACCCGAACGACCGCCGCACCAGCAGCACAGCGACTGAACGGGCCGCAGCAACCGAACCCCGAGACGGACGAGCACGTAAGTCCCCCACCATAGCTGAGCGATGGTACAGTTGCCAACCGGGCCTCCTCCTCCTCAACCGCCGGCCCGTCTCTCGCTGGCCCGGAGGCGTACGAATGGCACAGGGCTCCGCGGGCTGATCCAGACCATACCACAGCGACACGCTACACATTCGGACCCGACGGATGATCACCTGGTATCAGGCGTGGAACTACAAAACCAACACCTTCGAAACCTAGCCAGAGGTCGCCAACAAGATAAAAGATAAAGCGGGACTGCGGCGCGTTCTTCGTCGAAGGATGGAGCGCCTTCTGCGACGCCAGGGACAAGCGAGCACCAGGGAGAGGGACCTACAATCTCTAGGGGTCTGACGACTTCTGCGAGGAGTTCGTGAACGATACCACGCACACTACAACATCCGCAAGGTCCAGATCGCGGGGAGTCTAGATGAACTGGGGGGCTGCCTGGGAACGCCAGCTCCGGCGCAACGAGCAGCAGCAAGACAAAGGCCGGGGCAAAGGGAAGGGCCACGACCCGGTCGGGAAAGGCAAGAGACACGCCGACCCCGCCTGGCCCAACAACGATCAGTCGAGGCCACGCCGCCCTGGCCCGCCAGGCCTGCCCGGCCTCCAACCCGGCCTCTAAAGCCTCGGCGTCGCTGTCACGCCAGGCAACAGCCAGCTCCGCACGCCCAGCACTAATCTCCCCAAGCTGCTCCGCCAGAACGTCAGGGTCACCAGTGGGAGATCCGACCTGGCCGCCATCCCTGCTCAGCTCAGACTTCTTCCCCCAGGCCAGTACGTAGCCTGCGTCATAACTCTTCGATGCCCGTACTCACGCAAGTTGCCGCGCCAATTTGCGCCCGCTGACCCGCCACGCGCTGTCCACCCAGACAGTGCGGGGCACCCAGCTGCTTCAGTCGCAGCCCGCCTAACCAGCCACCGCACTGGTTTGACGACCCTAGCCACCATGTGGAGTCCACAGACGGCGCGCGCCACATCCTCCTTCAGCTGAGACCCTTCACACAGGACAATGCACCGGTCAGGTGCCCCTGGGCCGGCCACATTCTGTCCACCTAGACAGCGCGTGGCACTCTACGGCTTCCGGCCGCCATCCTCTCAACATGTTACTGCAGCGGTTCGGTGCCCCTAGTCTGGTCCGGCCACGTATTGTCCACGCAGACAGCGCGTGGCCCCACGGCTTACGCCACAACTTTGATGCAGACGGTGCGCCCAGACGGCCGCCCTCCGCTGGTCAGCCGCAGTTTTTGACGCCCACAACCCAGGCCTGCCCGCAGTGTGTTCGCGGGCAGGATCGCAGGTGACCGCAGCAGTACAGTGCACGGGCCGCCCGCCTCCAGCTCCCGCTGGCGCCAGGCGCCCGGGCTGCCGCCCCGCCTGCGGGGACTTCCCTACAGCGGGGCGCCCCTCCTTCCTGCCCTCCCCCTCCCCCCCCCTGCGCATTGACCCTCCTCCCTCCGCGCGCCGCCATGGCGCCCGCGCTGCAGCCGAGGCTGGCAGCTTCCCCCGTGTGGCGGTGCTCCTGGGCCTGGTCTTGCCGCCCTGCACCCCACCTCACGGGCCCAGCACTTTGCTGGTGGCAGTCTGACACCTAGATTGCTCGTGTACTTGCCGTGCCTTGTCGACCTGGCCACCCACCTGGGCGGCCCCGCGGCGCTTTCCCTGACGTGCACGTGCATAGTTCTCATTCGCTGACGGCGTTTCTGCGGGCACCCTTTGCTTTCGCGTACTGGGCCTCGTCATCGCCCGCGGGTGCCCCGACGCTGCGGCCCGGCAGCTGCCGCGGTTCCCGCTGACGAGGCCGGCCGCGCTAGCGTGCTCAGGTCGGAAGTCTTCTGCCTCTGAGTGCCCCTTCCTCCCTCCTCCGCGGCCGCCCTGTCCGTCTCATTCCCTTTTCCTGCATGCTGGGCAATTCGCTTCTCGGTGCCCCCGTTTAGCTCTATCGTTGGCGCGGCATGTTGGCTCAATATATGTGTATATATATATATATATATATATATATATATATGTGTGTGTGTGTGTTGGAATCAGAGCTTGCGCATTTCGACCTTCCTGGGACTTCAGCAATGCCCTATGGATGGAATAGCATTGTGCTTTGCTTCCAACGAAAAAGATCGAAGGCGGGAGTGAAATCCCCATCTGAGCTCCCAGGTCCAGGAGGGCCCGAAGAGCGCCTCTTCATTTACTGTTTCAAAGAGGGGGGGGGCGGGGGGGCAACGAAGCACGGGCGTGAGTGCGTGGAGGGGGACGGGCCTTGAGAAAATTCACAATCATTCTACCAAGTACCTCTTGGCACTGCTCCGCGCTTCAGTGCGCCAGGGAGCCCGGTGACCTTATTCCGCGCCCGCGGAAGTGCGCGGCGATTCGGCAC